ATGGGAAGGGGGGGGGGGGGGGGGGGGGGGAGCGAGGGAGGAGCCGAGCATCATTCTGTCGCGACTATAGCGCCCAATTCGTCTCACGTCGAATCGGACTGAATCGGATGTCTAGGGAGCATGCTACGTAAAGCGATACGTTGATAGACTCTCTCTCGGTATAGAGAGGGGTAGGAAACAGGTGAAAAAATACACGACAAAGCTAATACATACATATATATGTAAACATATATATATGTAGAGGGGACGGGGTGGTGGTGGGAGGGGCTCGTTTAAAAGCGAGATATATATATATATATAATATATACGTAAGGAAAACAATCGGAAGCACTACGCTATCACAGCTACCAGTTAATATAGTAATATATAATATGTAAAATAGAACTTTCTTTCCACGATGCATGTCTCCCTTCTATTATACACGTTCACACGATATACCGATACACGATGATACTTATCTTCTCGCGTCATAACTCGATTTCGCTTACATGTTTTTTGCGCACGATTGGCTCGTGTCATGCTTGCTGCGTTTCACGAGCAATGCGGGTGGGACCTGGGACGTTGGTCGTGCATCAAGACCGATTCTCGTACACGACCAACGACCGTCGACAGAATCTTCTTGCGATAACAGAGGCCGAGATAGAAATTAATCGCGACGAGCGGGCGGAGTCGAGAAAACGGGCGGAACCGCGGGTCCGCCTAGTTTCCCCCTCTCCTTTCTCTCCTTCGAGAGAAACCTCGAGCTTGCTCTCGATGGAGACACGACGCGACCGTTGTATCATTCGCGACGGATCGATACCGAGTGCGGTTAATACGTGTTGGGTTCATGCAAAGACGGCTCTATATTTTGTACCAAAAGAAGGGTCTCGTTGGAATCTCGGTAAACGACTATCTATGTACGATATTCGAACCCGAACAACAGGTTGCTCTGGAGAGATAGTTAGAGAAATAGAATGAGAGCGAGAGAGAGAGAGAGAGCGAGAGAGAGAGAGAGAGAGAGTGGAGAGGTGAAGGTGTAGGCGGATGTTAGTTACCAACGATTACGAGCAACGAAAAAGAAAGAAGAACGGGGTTAAATGTCGGCGACAACGCACGCGTTCGTCACAGGATAGAAGCCCTACGTTTCGTTCGCATGATCGCGTCGCACCCGATGCAAGAAAGCAAGAAACATCCTCGATAAAATGTCTACGGTCCCACGGTTTACGTTTATTTCGTTTCGGTTATACGCTTGACGGCTGCAATACGTTACCAGCATCCGAGAAACTCAAAAAGAGGCACAGACAGCAAAAGAAACCAAAAAGAACGGAAAGAGAATAAATACGTGGAAAGAAAGAAAAACAGAAGAGAGAGCGTATACAGAGCGACCGATCCGTTGCTGCAGCTGCTTCTTTCGAGCAGCGGTCGCCGCGTCGTCCCGGACGCTCTGTATACGTAAGTACACAGGTGGAACGTGTAAATATAATATTATATCTGAGGCCCTCGAAACTAATTTTCAATATTCGGGCGAGCAAGTGAACGCCCATAGAATCGAACAGAAGTATCTCTCATCATCTATAGAGACAGCTAGAGACAATTTCTTAAAATATTTCTTTTCTTTTGTATCTTTTTTTTCTCTTTTTTTTGTTGGTTGTTGGTATAGGTGAATGTATCACTTACGAAAGGATTTTAGGAATCTTGCGCGTAGGAATAGTCGTAATTATTTGGCCCCACAATAGAGTACCGACTCCGAAGAACAGGCACCACATCCATTGTTCTAAAGTGAGAGCTTTCGTGCTGAACGCCATTTTACCATACTGTATGATAACTACCTAGAAAAGAGACATACGGGTCCGTTAACGGGGATGGGCAGAACAAAATCGTTTCACAGTCACCGTGTATAAGAGAGATCAACACCACAGGTTGGCTGTAGAGAGAGCTTGCGTTTCTCTTTAGTCCATCCTCTGCTGCGACTTCGCCTCTCTTCTGGTTCAGTCAACCTATTCCTGCTTGCGATCGAGCTACAAATTCGCCGATTCTTTATCTTCCTACAGCCTCGTTCTCACTAATTAGAAACACCTTGGTGAATTTGCGTGAGAATAGGCTGAGCAATGCAGGACTAAAACTGCTCCCTGGATGCGCGAACGTCCAACGCGTACGACGATAATAAATGATAAACGACTATGGTTCCGAATGATTCTCGGAACGTTAAAGAGTAAACGCTCGCGCAGCCAGAGGGACATTAAAACCGCTAAAGATCCTAGGAGGACATCTTGCCCGACTGGTTCATGGTTCATCGATACGACAATATCCGAAAGACGCGGCACAGTCTATATGGGTGGTTATTTACCTGCGATAGACACGTGAGAATCCAGATAGAATAAAAGATGGGGTTGGTGAATATTCCTTGGAAGACATTACGCTGACCATGGATTTTCCTGGCGTTGAATTCGTTGAACAGAGTCATCATGACGAACGTGTTGAAGATGACGGTGAAGTGTTGCGTTGGACCGCCGCCAGCCTGGGCCACCCCTCGGCCAGTTTCGATGTCTAGCATCTTATCACCTGCAGATCAGAGATTGCAAAATTAGACGGACTCGAGAAGAATGCGTTTCAGAGCGTGTGGTTCTCGCACCTGGCTCGCCTCGGAGTCCAAAGAGAAAATTTCAACGCACCGAGGATACACACTTGATACACTGAGCAATGGACCGAGGATGAGCCAGGTGTCGTACGCGCGATATATTTATATATTATGGATAGAAGAGACAATCACCAACGAAAAGAAGCATAAAAATAACGGTCAGCTGATAGACGGCTTGACCAAGGATGTTCTTCATCATTGTCCTGGAGATGAGCGGTTTCGTGCGACCGTACGGTCTGCGAAGAAGGAGATCGTTCGTAGGCATTTCGGTGGCCAATGCGAGGGACGCTAACGTGTCCATGATTAGATTCACCCACAACATCTGCACCGCTTTAAGAGGGGAATCTTGCACGGCACACGCCCCGATAAAAGCAACTATAACAGCGACGACGTTCACCGTCAGCTGAAACTGCAAGAACTTGGCTATACTATCGTAGACGTTTCTACCCCACATAACCGCCTTCACGATCGAGGAGAAATTATCGTCCGTTAAAATGATATCGGAAGCCTCCTTGGCAACGTCGGTACCGGCGATGCCCATGGCGAACCCGACGTCCGCCTTCTTCAACGCGGGACCGTCGTTGGTACCGTCGCCTGTCACGGCGACCACCTCTCTGGCCGCAGTGGCCTTGCTGTCGATGATCCCCTTGACCAGGGTGTACTTGTCCGTGGGCGACGACCTGGCCAACACCCTCAGCTTCGGCCACACCTTATCCAACAGGTGTTGCTGCACCTCGCCGTTGTTATCCCTGATCCTCCTGTTGAACTCCTTGCCCTCGAGGATCAGGAAGTCCTCGTTCGGCTTAAGGATTCCGCATTTCAGGGCTATCGATCGAGCCGTGTTTATATTGTCGCCCGTCACCATACGGACGGTGATGCCGGCCTTCTGACACTTCCGGATCGCGTCAGGCACCTCCGGCCTCACCGGATCCTCGATACCGACGACGCACAGACACGTCAGATTGTTCACTATGTTCTCCTCGTCCTCCCAATTCGGCTCGTTGTCCACGTGAACCTGATTGATCTCTGCCTTGCCAGGAACGAAGTCGCGATAAGCAATGGAGATGGTACGAAGCCCGTCGCACGCCATTGGTTCGATCACGTTCTTTGTCAGACGGTCCTGCATCTCTTTGGTAAATTTCTCCAAATGACCTTCGCGACCATATATAAAGGCACATCTGCAAACAAACGCGCGACCTATTTAGTATCCTAATATCTCGTCGCGCCAACCTGTCGGGGTGGTTGGAACGTGCTATTTATTTTGGGACGTACTTCTTCATGATCATCTCGGAAGCGCCCTTGGTGAAAAGTCTATATCCACCGCCTTTTCTCGGTACCACGGTGGACATGCTCTTCCTAACGCTATTGAACGTGTACACCCGCGTGAAGGTTTCCTCCGGTTGATCGTCCCGTATCGTTTGATAGTTCATGCCCAGGGCTACTACGAATCCAAGTAAGGCACATTCGGTTTTATTGCCGATCTGAAGCGGCAAGTCTGTAGGGTCTTGCGCGGGCATTATTCGGGATGTGTACGCTGAATTTATGGAGATCGCCTGGATGACCAGGTTGCCGATGTGGTTCGGAATGTCCGAGAACTTCGGGGCCGACTTGCTCATCTTCTCGCATATGTACGACTGAACGACGGTCATCCGGTTGGTTGTCAGGGTACCAGTCTTATCCGAACAGATTGCCGTTGCGTTGCCCATAGTTTCGCAAGCGTCCAAGTGACGTACCAGATTGTTGTCTTTCATCATTTTCTGTCGGCAACGAATCGAACGATTAATACGTCGGTCCACTGGGCTTCCATGGATCTAGAACTACATTCTAGGACCATGTGGAGACCTAGGACCTTTCGAACCTACCTTTACGGAATAAGCGAGAGACAATGTGACTGCTAGAGGAAGACCTTCGGGAACGGCGACCACCAGTACCGTTACACCGATGATCAAATGCCGCACCAGATCACCGGCGTACGTATTCTTCCAAGTTTTCCTCTCTATGACGAACGTCGTTACACAGAACTGAATGACTAGAATGAGAACGGTAAGCGCTGCTATGGTCGAGCCGGCGTAACCGATTTGTATGGCGAGTTTAGTTAGCTTGGCTTGGAGAACACTCTTCTCTTTCTTCCCTTCGCCACCGCCGCCTGCGCTGCCAACTGCATGACCCTCTCCGGCCTCTGCTTTGGCTCCGCTGCTGACATGGCTGTTTCCAGTGATCTCACCAGCTTCGTCCCCTTCATTTGCAACATACGGAACAGTCTGATCAATCGTCCCTAGGACCGATTGGATTGGCCTCGAGACTCGATGCCTGTTCGTTTCAGACTCATTCCCAGAATCGGTTTAGTGTAACAACTTTGTCTCGAGTGTACATCGCTAACGAACAGTCATCGAGCCCCCTGAAACACTTAGAACTATAATAGGTCAGCTTTCGCCTTCTAATCGTCTACTATTGGCAACGATACCGACTACAGGTATCCTTAGAAGGGCAAGAAGTATAGTGAACGGTACTACAATGATAAGCGAAAATAGAATAATAAGGAGGTAATAAGGGTGACAATAATAATACGTAAAGAACATAGAACGCAATATAAGACCAGTTGCTGTAATGCCAAAGAACAGAAGCTCGTACGGTAATCAAGCAGCCGCTATGTATTCCAAATGCAGAAGAAACCATTGCTGTTAAGAAACATTCAGAAATATATAAATATATAAATGGTAGAATAAGGTACAGAGAAGCACGGACGAAACAATCTTGTCTACCTCGATTAGGGATCTTCTGTTTAGGGAAGATCCATGATCAAACTAAAAGACACATTGATCCAAACTGAACGCAAACATCTCTCAAAAACTATAGAGTGTGCAATAACAAAAAGAAACGGACTAAAACGTCAAAGATACAAAATAAAACAATAGTCTGTATTGTTGTTTCTTTCTCTAGCGCGTGTTTTATCCTCCTTAAAAAGATTAGAGAGAAGGTAACCAAATTAGAGAGACAGAGAGTGAGAGAGAGAGAGAGAGAGAGAGAGAGAGAGAGAGAGAGAGAGAAAGAGAGAGAAAGAATTAAATAATATAGAAAAAAGTAAACTAAATACGCGGGCGTGCTCATTGAATATAACAAGTACACGCTCAACACCGAAAAATGATGGACAATAATAATTTATGATAGTGCTTTATTCACCTGTTAATGACTTCTTCTTCCGCTGCTTCTTAGCCTCTAGATAAAAAAACGCATGCAAAATAAAATCGATTAGCAATCTATCTAAAAATGTAATATGCCAGGAATAAGTTACGCCATATTCGTAATTTAATATTCTAAGTATCTTGGTATCAGGTCTTTTGTGGGATTCGGCTTAATTACTATAGTGGACAGCCCAGAAGGTTTCGACTCTAACCGTTCTTGGAGAAGCAAAATTCTAGTTGCAAATTGCCGATGACTATGTTCTAAAATATTGTTTTTAGCGAGGTGTGTGCGTGTGAAACAAACCCAGCCTTCCAGGTTGTGCAAAAAGAAAAAGAAAAGGTGAAGAAAGACATACACGAAAACATAAATCACAAGAAAGCAATCCTAGTCTCCGACTAATATAATAATTTATTGTGTACCGAAGTCGTTTTTTGATCTATCAAAAATCGACCTGAAAACAAAAGATAAAAGCTAGTAGTGTTTCTGATAAAAGAAAATGTTGTACAAAACACACAGGGCAGGAGAACAAACATTTACAACAAAATGCAAACTAACGTGATCGTGAGCATGCCATACAAGTGAGATATAGTATACTTAACCATTTTCTAACGTCAACGTGTGGTAAACGTGAGATTTAAATAAATAATCATTTCCCTCCTCGATCAATCACATTTTTCTCTTGTTCGAATAGCAATTAGTAAATCATTTATAGAGTGCCACTAATGCATGCCAAAGAAACGAAAGAATAATAAGTATAGAACTGAATTCATAGAGAAAGGTGTTCACACCAATTATGAAAATAAATACCATGCTCTCGTCGTTTCTCTACGATTGCACTTACGCTCTGTGTCATGCGAAATTTTATTGCATCAGTTGCTACTATTCTTTGGAAAATCTGTTTCGAAAATCTCTATCTGCTCGATACAACTCTACGACAGGAAAGTGGCTAAAGATCTTTGATANGAGAGAGAGAGAAAGAGAGAGAAAGAATTAAATAATATAGAAAAAAGTAAACTAAATACGCGGGCGTGCTCATTGAATATAACAAGTACACGCTCAACACCGAAAAATGATGGACAATAATAATTTATGATAGTGCTTTATTCACCTGTTAATGACTTCTTCTTCCGCTGCTTCTTAGCCTCTAGATAAAAAAACGCATGCAAAATAAAATCGATTAGCAATCTATCTAAAAATGTAATATGCCAGGAATAAGTTACGCCATATTCGTAATTTAATATTCTAAGTATCTTGGTATCAGGTCTTTTGTGGGATTCGGCTTAATTACTATAGTGGACAGCCCAGAAGGTTTCGACTCTAACCGTTCTTGGAGAAGCAAAATTCTAGTTGCAAATTGCCGATGACTATGTTCTAAAATATTGTTTTTAGCGAGGTGTGTGCGTGTGAAACAAACCCAGCCTTCCAGGTTGTGCAAAAAGAAAAAGAAAAGGTGAAGAAAGACATACACGAAAACATAAATCACAAGAAAGCAATCCTAGTCTCCGACTAATATAATAATTTATTGTGTACCGAAGTCGTTTTTTGATCTATCAAAAATCGACCTGAAAACAAAAGATAAAAGCTAGTAGTGTTTCTGATAAAAGAAAATGTTGTACAAAACACACAGGGCAGGAGAACAAACATTTACAACAAAATGCAAACTAACGTGATCGTGAGCATGCCATACAAGTGAGATATAGTATACTTAACCATTTTCTAACGTCAACGTGTGGTAAACGTGAGATTTAAATAAATAATCATTTCCCTCCTCGATCAATCACATTTTTCTCTTGTTCGAATAGCAATTAGTAAATCATTTATAGAGTGCCACTAATGCATGCCAAAGAAACGAAAGAATAATAAGTATAGAACTGAATTCATAGAGAAAGGTGTTCACACCAATTATGAAAATAAATACCATGCTCTCGTCGTTTCTCTACGATTGCACTTACGCTCTGTGTCATGCGAAATTTTATTGCATCAGTTGCTACTATTCTTTGGAAAATCTGTTTCGAAAATCTCTATCTGCTCGATACAACTCTACGACAGGAAAGTGGCTAAAGATCTTTGATAGTCAGCGTTGTCATTCTTAAAAGAAATTCTATGGAAATGGAAATAAATACGTGTGTATGCATCTACGCTATACTACTCGGAAAATCCCGGAATTTCAGAAGACGATCGAGGTCTACGATCACTGTCCATGTGTGTCTACGTACCTTTCTTCATTTTCTTGATTTCTTGCTCTTGGTGATCAACGGCAGCACCCAATAACGTAAAGATAATACCAGCCTGCGAGTTAACGCCTACCGCGGTTACTAACATTTTTCCGGAGCCCTCCATCACGTGAGTACCTGTAGGAAGGAAATGACCGTTAACGAAAACAATCAGATTACGAGCTTCCCATCGTAGATTTTCCTCGGTGAAAGACTTACCCGAGAGAACCATGGGATCGAAGGCTTCTCCTTTCTTCACATGGTCCGACTCTCCGGTTAAACTGGACTCGTCCACTTTCAGATCGTTGCTTTGTATAAGAATACCGTCTGCTGGTAGCAGGTCTCCATACTTTATCTGAAGCACAGAATCAATTTTTGCTTTTAGTACAGAAATTTTGTTGCGCGGAACGTCAAGATTGTAGTACTTACTTGACATATGTCGCCAACGACTATGTCAAACACAGCGATCTGTTTGACCTCCCCTTGTCGAATAACAGAGAATTTATGTTCCCCTTCTATTCGACTCTGGAGGCCTTTAAATTGTCTTTCTTTAGAATAATCATTGAAAGCTGTTACTATCACCACCACGATCACAGAAATCAATATAGCGAGTCCTTCGATCCAGCCGTACTTCGCCTCGTCGTCTTCAAACGAAGCTAAAAATTCAAACGTGTTTTACTAAATTATCCTTGAAACTTGTTGCATGTAAATTTTCCGTTACAACCGTCCACATGATCGGTTTCACGTCCTGACACATGCTGTTCCGATTTAGCCTCTTATCAAACTATTATGTAATGCCATGTTATGAAATATGTGAAAAGTATCGTTTTATCAGCTATATTATCGATGCTACTCTTATAGTTGTACGAGATCGGAGCATGGTGTGTCCATTACCCAATGATTAAAGAATATCAGCAAAAGATATAGATTACAAGTACATGGTATCTTTCCTAAATGGAACGTCTGGGTAAAATTACCATCTTGAAATACTTACGTCCCGTTTCCTCTTCATCTGCAGGCTGATAAAAGCTAAGACCTAACGAAACCAATGCTGCTACTTCCAAGATGATTAACGTAACATCTTGTAAAGCCTCCCACACTAGTTGTAGAAACGTTTTTGGTGGTTTTGGAGGTATTAGATTCGAACCAAATGTGTCTCGTCTATGCTGGATATCCGCCGCTGATCCACTGAGACCTATGCATGAAATAATTAGAGACCGATCTTAATCAAGTTCTCGAAACAAAGATTAGACGAGAAAAAAATGGTTGGCAGTTTTACCTTCACTGGGTGAAGTATATAGTTTTTTACAAATCTCCTGCACACCACCATAACTATTGATTTTATTGACACCTTCACGTCCCCGGAACTCCATGAGCTCGCGAAGTTGCTTAAGAGTGACACCATATTGGGCCGGTCGGCCATCTATTGTTGCCATTTTGCCTCGTCCACTGAGGTTGGCCTAAGCCAACTCTACTGCGCTTCTTAAAGTTAGCAGCTCCTATTATTCTCTGGTGTCACTGACACCACTGGCCTCCAGTAAATTAGAAGACCAACAGCTGAAACAGAAAAGTAAACAGCTTTAAAACATTTTGTTCCATTTTGTTCTAGATTTCTCTCCAGAATACCAAGAAAAGATGCGCTCGAGTAAAGGATCATTAGCATACAATAAAACGATCCGAATCACAGTTATATATAAGTAGGTGTGTCATACCGCGTTAACGATATTCTTGAGCCTCGTATCTGTTACATCGACAACAAATACAGAAAAATCCTGACGGTTGGAAAGATGTCTAATAGAGTATCAAAGGATAAGGTCGAATGGTACAGACAAGAGGAAAAATATTTCAGGGAGAGGGCAATCCCAGCATCCGTTATAGCATGTTATTCGAGGACTGGGAGGCTGACACACGATCACAGCAAAGAAGTCTGTAGAACCGTGAAGGTTACAGATAGCTCGAGCGCGTCACCAACGATAGATATTTTAAGCCTGTCGCAGGTGTCGAGACTGAAATCAAGAGAGATTTCGGCGCGACCATGAAGGATGGAAAGAGAGACGAAGACGGCTTCCGGAGACACGACACGACACAACAGGGAAAATCGGTGTCGATGAACCCGACAAACGTTTATCGACTGGTCAGCGGCGAGGAACGCGTAGGAGGCCGGGAGTAAGATCACCGTCTCGGTGTCTGGGAATGCGACGAGTCGACGAGCCGCTCTCGGCTGTCACTGGACGCCGACACACGATTTTGAGGTTATGTGGCCTGGCCTTTGCAGTCGCGAACTGCTCGTTACAGAGATCCTGACTGCAGCAGCTGTAGAACCGGATGGTTACTTCCGAAATTCTGTCACGACGAGGAAGAATAACGGGACCGAGCGATTGAACGGGCGGCATCATCGATACTCGGTCTAAAAATAACACTGACCGCGAGGACAGAGACAGAACGACCACACACAGAGACAGAGAGAGAGAGAGAGAGAGAGAGAGAGAGAGAGCGAGAGAGAGAGAGAGAGAGAGAGAGCGAGAGAGAGAGAGAGAGAGAGAGAGCGAGAGAGAGAGAGAGAGAGAGAGAGCGAGAGAGAGAGAGAGAGAGAGAGAGCGAGAGAGAGAGAGAGAGAGAGAGAGCGAGAGAGAGAGAGAGAGAGAGAGAGCGAGAGAGAGAGAGAGAGAGAGAGAGCGAGAGAGAGAGAGAGAGAGAGAGAGCGAGAGAGAGAGAGAGAGAGAGAGAGCGAGAGAGAGAGAGAGAGAGAGAGAGCGAGAGAGAGAGAGAGAGAGAGAGAGCGAGAGAGAGAGAGAGAGAGAGAGAGCGAGAGAGAGAGAGAGAGAGAGAGAGCGAGAGAGAGAGAGAGAGAGAGAGAGCGAGAGAGAGAGAGAGAGAGAGAGAGCGAGAGAGAGAGAGAGAGAGAGAGAGCGAGAGAGAGAGAGAGAGAGAGAGAGCGAGAGAGAGAGAGAGAGAGAGAGAGCGAGAGAGAGAGAGAGAGAGAGAGAGCGAGAGAGAGAGAGAGAGAGAGAGAGCGAGAGAGAGAGAGAGAGAGAGAGAGATAGAGAGAGAGAGATAGGAGAGAGAGAGAGGGGGAGAGAGAGAGAGAAAGAGAGAGGTAGAGAGAGAAAGAAAGAAAGAAAGAAACTGTGATCCGTTTACCTTCTGGTGACAGTGTACGCGTTAACGTGGAGAGCGGATCGCGAATTCGCATGCAAACCGATCTCTCTCGTCACTGGTACGGGCCCTCGAGCTTCATTCTTCCCTGTCGATCTCTCGGAACGTGGAAAACCCGATTCGCCGACCACGACCACACAATCCAGTAGCAGTGAACCTGTGGTCGCCACGGAAAGGCGTGTTAAGTGAAATAAGCCATTAGCAAAGCGGTAATCGATTCGTGTTGCCCTCTAGCCGCTCGCACGCGTACTGCGCCAAGTTCACTATTTTCCTCGAGATTCGAGCAATCCCCAGTGCTGGATCAAACAACGTGGCCAAACAGGGAGCCAAGTCAGCGAATCAGTTTCCCATTCGTCGATATACGAAACAATTGAATTTCCTCCACAAACTTTTAACGATACCAACAGCACTGCACAAACGCGTCCACAATGCGGTACGTATACACGCGCGTACGCACGCACGCACGCACGCACGTAGGGTTTAAATTTCCAATCGACACGAATTTAGTCGCGCATTAAATACGATACGAACCTTCGATTCAAAATCTCGAAGGCCGTACGAACGCAAGACGAAAAGACACTGGCCGAGGGTGGAAGTCTATCGAGAATTCTCGAATCGAATCGAGTCGAATTGAATCGAATCGAAACGAATCAAATCAAATCGAATCGAATCGATCGAGATTGAATTCGATCGGGAAGAGCTGGCGCGAAACGAAGTGTCCTGTCACCGGAACAATGCTGGTTTCGCAATGGCTGATCTACGACACCGTGGAACGTGCGATAGGAGAGCGAGAGAGGAGCCGCGACACATCGCTCGGCGAGTCTCGCGATCGACTGAGTCGACCGAGTCGATCGCGCTCCCCGCGCATTTTCACTTGGAAAGTTCAACCTGATTCATTCATCGCGTTTACGTAATTTTTACTCACAACTCTATTTTCATCCTATTACAAGGCGGGCCGTCGCCGCTGCGCCGGTTAAACAACTGGTTTTCTCGTCGCGTCGCGTCAGACAGAATTCCTTTTGCAACGAGCGAGAACTCGCGGTGATGTAACGAGCCAGGGTGACGATCGCGCACGTATCTTTCAATTAATTCATCACCGGCTGGACAAATTCGTCGGAATAATTGCATCACGGCCCGTTTTGCGCCACGGGAGAGAAGGGCACCGTTGTTGTGTGTGTGTGCGTACGTGTGTGTGCGCCGTGCGTGTGCAATTTTCCGTTTCTGCCGTTTCTGGAGGCTGGCGGCGCGGCGACCACGGAAGTTAGGCGAGGCGCGCGCGCACCCGAATTGGCGGGTCCACTGTCGAAAAGCATCGATCGGAACGGATCGATACTCGAGATCGAACCGAACGATTCTCGCGACGCCGACGGGTGGCGGGAAACCGGGCGAGACCAGGGATTTAATGGAACGTAGAGGGCGTTTTTTTCGTTAACGGGAGAGAACGGTGTCGCGTTTAATAATCGACGGTTCCCTTTCCTTGTGTTGTTTCCTCTCGGTCGATAGCCCTCTCGACTGTTTCGAGAGTGTCGTTTAGCTGAAAGGAATTGTTTCGAAAGCGGTCAGAGGCCATTTCTTTGGCCGTGTGGAGGCGAGAGATATTTTCCGTTCTATATATTTCGGTGAGAAAAACAGACCAGAGCTGACAGAGTGTGAAAGAGAGAGAGAGAGAGAGAGAGAGAGAGAGAGAAAGAGAGATAGAAAGAGAGAGAGAAGCTCGCGTTCGATATCGTTGATTGAGCTGAAGGGCCGCGGAGAGTCGATACGGGGCAAACAGAGCGGCAAAGTAAGAGAGGAGGACAAGGAATCCTTTTGCCGTCCAATTCCAACTATTTTCGTATTTTCACGCGGATTCCCTTCCCCATTGTTTACCCATGGTTCGAGCTCTCGAGCCAGCCGTCGCGTCGACGGGATCGAGGAAAATTCTCGTTATCGACTACTCTACTCTCTCGCTGCGTCACGTCGCGCTTCGCCGTCCAACCATTTTAATCGTTAAACACTCGACGAGAGGGCCGGGGCTTGTCGGGACGTGTTACGGACATCAAATTGAAATCGAACGCGATATCTCAAGATCTATGTCGACGGTTCAAATCAAACTCGGACTCGATGCCGTCGGTGTTAGGCTGTTTTATCGGCAGGTCCTTCTTCGATCCATCCGATTACACAAAATTACTCGAAGAATATAGAATAATAAGGAGGATAAGGTTTTCGAGATGGGCGTGCATCGACCCCCGTTCGATCGATCGCGAGGTGTTAATCGCGGGGCGGCGGAAGGGACGCGCGAAAGGTCGCGGAGGTGCCAGAGAAGAAATCGAGTAATCCCCCTCCCTCCCTCGGGGGGCCGTAGAGGGGCTCGATATAGGTTCGATATGCGTGCAGAGTTGTTGACCAGGGGAGGGCTTCCTTAATTAGAAGCTGATTCGATAGGAAGACTAACTACTGCCTTGCTAAGCGCAAAGGTGGTAACTGCCCTTATTTTACATTTCATTCAACCGTGGGGCGACACGCGATCGTTTCGCTTTCCTGTCCACTGTCTGCTGTCTGCCGCACACTGTCCGCGACTGTGAAAGACCCCGATAGAGAAGATGGGAGAAAAAGCAAAAGGCGAAACTCGCGCGAAAAGAAGACGAGGCGGGGCGAGGCATGACAAGACAAGACAAGACGGAAACGATTTATCGGGAATTCCGTGGATGGGTGCTCGCCCGGCGATAACTTATCGAGCGTCTAATTATAATGGCTCTCGGGACCGGCTCTCCCATTGAATCGGATAAAATCGACCTATCTCTCGACAAGCGGTCCGGGCCGCTGCCCCCGACTCGTGTATAATTAGTGTAGGAACATGCTCGAGACGCGATAAGGGAGCTCCTGTACACTGTACACACGGTGCACCTTATTTCTAGACCCCTTCGGAATTCAACCTGCCGGTTCCCTATTAGGCGTCTCTATTGGCCGAGTATCGGCATGAGCAACCACAGGCGCACACGCCTCTCTCTCTCTCTCTCTCTCTGGTTCGCTCGCTCTCGCGCTCCATGTATTTATATTGATACCGACCCCGCGTCTATTTCTGTGATTTTCAAGCGATAGCAAGCGTGCCTTTAAAGCCAACGAACACTTATCCCTTCCGTTGTCCTTGATCGCTCCCTTTTTTTTATCTAAGGACAGTGGCTCTGGAAATTTAGGCGATACGTCCTCGAATAATCTAAATGGTTTTTCTATTAGTAAAGTGAGCGGAGCCGGAGCAGTGGCCCCGATGGGCGGAGCCAGGGCAAGCGGTGGCTGAAAAAGGCTATCGAGAGCGGACGGGCGGAACGGAGTTGGTGGAAAGTGGGCGGGGCCTGGACGGTGCCCCGTAGGGCTCGAAGAATCCTTTGACGAATCAAGGGAATCGCGTCGATCGATCGCGT